TCCTTGGCCAACTGGACTTTAGGACATATCTTACAGATGGTAAAACAACAAGTTAGAGGGAGCCTACATCCCAGATGACCACATTGAGCAGAACTAGTATACTAACCTTGGACCACCTGTTGAGAGAAGCGATCTACCATGGCCCTGAGCATCTCTGAACAGCCTTTTTGGGTATACCAAGAATGTATAATGCTGACCTCTCTTTAGTGGACCATTTCTCAAGACTGAGCTTGCAATGCAAGCTCAAGGCATGAGTTAACATCATCTCTCAGACAAAGAAGAGGCTTGCTTACCACTTACTATAAAAGGGGTAGATTCTAGTTGTAATGCAAACCCACTGTGTGCTTAGTGTCCAACTTGGTTACCTCCATGGGTCTTGGGGGGCATGGGGAATCAGCAAAAACATGATGTGCATCGGCTTGCTATATAGTGAGTAATAAGATCCTTTGTCTCAGACCTAGAAATCTGTGCCTTCAGCCAGCATCTGTGAAACAGCAGTTTATTAGCTTGCAAGTAAGGCAAAAATCCCAGAACCTAACATACCCATCTCTGGACTGTTCTTAGGAAAGAAATCAACTTGTATACTTTCTTAAGCCACTGTTATTTTGGATCTCTCTTACAGGCAGTCAAACCTAATCTTAACTAATCAAAGAGTAAATTTTCAAAGGTCTGATTTGGAAAAAAATAAGAAAGAAAAAGAAACATGCTTATTATTGCTTTTTTTTTTCTCCCTTAACATTGTAATTACAAAAGTCATGCCTGAGGACTTGTGGGACCCTAGTACATCCATTTTCCTGTTATGTCATATTCCATTATATAGATATATCACATTTTTTATTCTGTTTTTCAACTGATGGACCTTAGGTTGTTTCCATATTTTTATTCTTACACATAATACTGCTATAGATATTCTTATGTCCATATGCAAAAGATTATCTAGGGTATATTCCAAGGAATACAATTGCTAGGTCATGTGCCATTGCTGAGCTAACTGCAATTTGGCCTTATTAGATATTGATAAGTAGTTCTCCGGAGTGGTTTATCGATTAAGATTTTCACCAGCTTTGTATGAGAGATGCTTCACATCCCTTCTAGTATCCAAACATTTATTTAACAAATATTTTTCAGTGACCTACTAATCTGTTCTAGGTACTGGGCTATAGCAGTTTAAGGGCCCGCTCTCTTGGAGCTTTCATCTTCTTGGCAGGAGACTTAATAACAAATAAATGAATGAATATATAATAGGTCCAGAGAGGATGAGTGCCTTATTTCCAGGGTCAAGGTCTAGCTGTTCTCCTTGGACCCTTGTTACCCTGATAGTATAAGCAGCTGCAATGCCCTTTTGAGCTAAATGTGACCTAATTCCAGAAACTGATTTTTAAAATTTGTAGTTACCACAAGAATTAGAAGATGAACATTTTACATTGGTGCAATGTATTAGAATTTATACGGTGCTTTGGAATCCATGTTCTCAGCTGACCACAATATTAGGTAACATATAATAAGGAAGTGGTTAAGTGCTCCTATCTCTACAGTCAAGCTGCCTGGGATCAAATCTTGGTTTCCTGACTTACTAACCATGTGACCTTGAGCAAGTTACTGAACTTCTCTAAGTTTCGATTTCTGTATCATGTAATAGTGTCTGACTTACAGGGATACTTATCATGGTACCCAGTAAAATTTTAGCACTATATATTTACTAGCAATCAATTAATAATAATCAGATAGGACAATCATGTGATATTATTCTCATTTTATAGATGAGGAAAGTGAGGTTCAGAGTAGTTAAACAAATTGCCCAGCCAGTAAATTCTGGTGCCTCTTAAACCCAGGTCTGCTCCACTATAACACTGTATTTATTTATGTATCATGCATTCATTCAATAATTATTTAGTGAACATCTAACATTGCCAGTCACTCTGCTTGGTGCTGGGGAATTCTGAAATAATCCTAATATGGTTGATCATCTTTGGGCAGCCCTGAAATTCCAACTACTCTGAGGCCAGTCCCAACACTTTGTTTCATCCTGCTTGTACCGGTAATAAATTTTGAAGATTTTACTGAAGTTCTTATGGAGGATAGAGATGAACATTATATCACATTAGACTGTAAACTCTTTGAAGGTAAGGATCATGTTTTACTTATCAATATACAACCAGCAGAGTGCCTAGCACATACTTATTGAATATTTGACAAATAAAGAACACGTCATACAGCGACATCTACGCCATATTCCTCAGTAACTTCTCACCTGCTCCCATAATGCCTTCCCCAGCAGCTGCTCCAAAATTGTTGATGAAATAGAGTTTGATTGCATTGTGAAGAATTCTACCTCTCATGAACTTGATGGGATTCTTCCAGTTATTTCCGGCTTCCAAATACAAGAAGTTTTCATCTGAAATCAAGTACAGTGATGTTTGGGTTATAAAAAATACATATGTCAAAATATTGTATCAGGAAGCCAACAGTTGAGTAAACAAGAACAACAATAAAATGAAAGATAAGACAGTGCATGCTGAGTACCCAGTGAAGAAAACTGACAATAAATACTACTGGAGTTCAAAACAACAAGAAAACAGGAAGGTGGTAAGATATCAACCTGATTAGAAAGAATCTCTTCCAGGTCTCTTTATACAGACAAACTCTGAGGTACTGTGAGTTGTTTTTATTATTATATCTCAAAGTTTCCTCATAGCAGCTTGACAACGGCTTAAGGCTTTGGAGCTGGCAATCTATGGGCCCAGAGTCTCCTGAGTCCCAAGAACAGCACACCTGCAGTTTCTGTATAGAATGAGAAGATGAAGCCCAGGGTCCCAGCACTCAGATCTCCTCATTTCTGGCCCTCTGCATTCAACTTTGGGGACTAATCTCTTGCTGAGAACAGGACAGACCTTATTCTTCACCTGTGTATCCACCTCTGGGAAAAAGAAAAGGTATCCACTCTAAGTAACTCCCCTTTAATGTAAATGTCACAATTCCTACTCCCTTTATCTCATACCTTCACCCTCAGCCTCTATTCAAAAACAAAAATAAATACCTCCTAGAATTTGACAATGCTTCCTTATCAAGATTATTACCTTGTTTCTGACCTAATCTAGTAAGAAAAATCAAGGGTTGTGCCTGACAGCTGCATTAGCAGAAGGTAGTCCTATTTGACTCAATATATTAAACCGTTAAAAGCGAAAAGAAAATGAAATCAAGAGTGTACTCCTTACATCTTAGACATCATGGTTTGTTTCATTTTCTACCAAGATAAGCTATACAACCTCTCCTAGTGACATTTGGCTTTGGCCATTCCAATGCATTTATTTCTTTCTGTGACAACATAAGCTTGGCAGAACATTGAGAACTGGCGGCTGAGAAAAGAAAATGCAGTCTTCCTGCTCACAGAAAAGACTCTAAGATATCCTTGCTAACACAGCATTGCCAAAACGGCTTGTGTACGAAGCACCCATAAATGGTAAGTGGGCTGATGAGGGTTGCAGAGTTTATGAGAATTTCTGATGAAGCAGCACACAAGAGTGCCTATCAGTTATTGTATGAGTGTGGTGCAGTCTGTAATTTGACTTGTTTGGGTCTTTTTGTTATTATATGTTACACTTCGCTGAAGCCTATTGCAAGCTCTCATTTTCCTTTGCTATCAGAATTCCCCTGCTTCATGAATGAGAATCGAGGCTTTGTGGCAAGAATGCTAAATATTCCTTCCAACTACACAAAGGGCTGAGAGATGGGTTGTTTTATTAGCATCTGCTTCCAGGAACATGATCCCAATTCTCCCAATTTCCTAATCATAGATGCTTTTGGCACTCACCACAGTCTAGTTGGATCCCCTCTGAAATACTTCGGAACCAAACCAAAAGCAGTGTCAAGCAAAGATGAGTATGCAGTCAAGAAAAACATGTTTTTAGGCTTCCAACATCCTCCCTTCCTTCCTAGGCCCAGTACTGTCTAGAGTTGCCAGATTTAGCAAAAACACAGGCTCCTGTATTTTATCTGACAATCCTATTAAGGCCTGTAGTCACTCTATTTTAGTCCTCTGTCATCCAAGCCTATTTCAGGAAGGAAAAAAAAAAATCCCTGAGATTAGGCATCAAAAATTAGAGCAATATTTCTCAAAGTTTGGTCTCATTTAACCTGCATTAGAGTAACCTGGAAACATTGAAAAAGGCAGATTCCTGAGTCTCACCCTGGACTCACAGAATCGGAAATTCCAGAGACAGGCCTGAGAATATGCATTTTAAAAATCTCTTCGCATGCGTCTGAGGCACACTAAAGCATGAGGTTTATTTATTGACCTCAGTGTCTTTCCTCTCCCAGCAGCACATACTTAAAGCCTTTCCCTGCTTATGGAAAGAAGGTAATAAAAGTACAGTATCTGACTTTGATGAGGAATTTAATAAATATTTGTTGCCTTAATCCCTTTTTAAAGAAACTTTGAACTTCAGGAACAACGTGGGTAGGTACTCTTTACCAGTCCCCTGAAGAAAAGAAAGCTGAGGTTGCCTCTGATCACCTCCATATACACTTGACTATTTTTGAGCTTGTCTAGGCTGCTACTTCAGGCCTGCAGCCAGCCAGGAGAGACTTTGGGCACTGGCTCCAGCAGAAATATGTCCAGGGCTCTGCCCTGTGGGACAAACAAAATGGATCTTTAGTGTACAGGGTGTGCCGAGAGGCCTGCAATTATTTACCCTTTCTCTAAACAACCCCTGTACTTCTTTCCCCTCTGAACCAGAATTCCTCCCCCCACAGAATTCCTCCCCCCACCCCCCAAGATCCGTCTCACCGTCCCTAATTCTGCTCTCTGTATTTTCCAGCATTTTATCTGAAAGTCAGCCACCAACATTACTGAACAGCTAGTTCATCGCATGCTGAGAACCACTGCCCGAGAACAGCGTAGAATCCTGCAGATTCAGGATTGGGGTTAGAAAGACTACAGGACCCAAAGTGCAATTTCACCTTTCAAAGACTACCATTCCCAGCATGCAATGCAGCCAGGATTAGCAACGGGGAAAAAAACTGCAAGCCTGGCTGGAAAGTTTGCCTTCAGGTTACCCTCGGGTAAAGGAATGACTTAGAAACGCCCCAGAGGATAAATTCTGCAGGAGTGGTCACTCCCTAAATCCAGGCAAGGAAGAGGAGGAGTCTGAGCTGTTTCCCGCCCCTTCTCCAGTAAACTCCTGTCGTTCTTGTTTGGCTCAGGAGTTCGAAAAGCCAGAAGTAGCAGCACACCCTGAGCTTTCCCCATGGTTTCGGTGACCAGAGCCGTGTTTGGAGACCTGCCCTTAGGGGCAGGGACAGTGGAGAAGTTCCAGCTGCAGTCAGACCTGCTGAGAGTGGACATCATCTCCTGGGGCTGCACTATCACAGCTCTGGAAGTCAAGGACAGGCAGGGCAGATCCTCAGATGTGGTCCTCGGCTTTGCTGAGTTGGAAGGTGGGTTGAACTCTGCCTTGGGTCGCTTGGCCGGCCCCAGGCCCACCGCGCACACGCCCCGGGGGCGGGCTGCTCGTGGAGCAGGGACCCAGGGGAAGGACCTGAGTTGGGACTTTTGTTTGGGACCGTCAGGAATGCTTGGATCCCACTAACTCGCTGTGTTGCGATTCCGTGCTGGGAAAAAGACAGACTGAATGGAAACAGCTATAGGACTTGACCTCTAGTTATCCACTTAGGCTTTGCCTCAGTTAATTTAAAAAGTCAGTAAATGTAAGCGAGAACTCCAGCAACTCTGGAGCGACCTTTGAACTGCCTGATCTTTGGAAGGGCAGGAGAGGAAAATGCGAGGGGGTGTGGCTCCCAGCTCCTTCCCTGTGCCCTTTCGGAAGAAGGAAAATCAAAGACTCCTCTTCTACTTCCTTTTTTTCTTGATCAGATTCTTTGAGGCGTGGTTGTCTCAAATAGCTGGGAGTGCAGATAGCTTATCCACTTAGGTCTAGAGAGGTTAGTGCCCAGCACCCCGTAGCTGCTCAATAACCCTGTAGGTAGGGAATGGAAGGCAGAATACCTACCTACTCACTGTCTAGAAATGAAGTCTCCTTCTAACTAGGGTGGACTTTTATTCTGCTGGAATCTGTGGACAGTTAAGATCACGTATTAATTAATGCATTTAAAAACTTAATTCAGTTATCTCATTCAGTGAGACAGAAAAGGTCCCCACCCTCATGGAGCTTGCAGTTTAGCTGGGGACATAGCTGTTAGCCAAGTAATTATGTAAATAAATAATTACAACTGCAGTTTGATTGCAACAGATGACAATGTACATACTGCTCTCTTGGCACTAGGGTGTAACTAGACAGAAAATGAAATCTGAAATAAAGTTGGCAATAGGAGACTGCTTGAGAATTAATACCCTCTGCTCAGTGTAGGGGTGTGAACAAAATCTGCTAGAGAGGAGGTTTGAGGTTTTCCTTCAGATGTATTTTTTCTGTTTCTTTGGTTCTTTAATATGTAGCATGTCTCATGGTTGGAAGTCAACAGAAAACCCTTGGTATTGGTTTTCCCTTAGGAGACTAAAAATTTCTCTCCATATTCTTAACAGATCGTATTATTACAAGACTATTCCTGAGGATCCTACTCCTTGCCCTCTGGTTGTCTTTATCTACCTTGGAGCTTCCATAGCTTGGCTTGGAGAGGGGGTAGGTAATACTCAGCAGAATTTCTTTGGTAACTTCAGCAAGTCTATTACAGGAGACTCATGAGTAGAAAGGTGCAGGGCCCTACCCTAGAGAAAATCAGCTCCACTTGCCCTCCTTCTCCAAGCCCCCGTGAATTTATGGGGATGGGGGTTCACATCTATCTTCAAAGTCAGAAGGCAAGAGCATTGACAAGTGACAAAAGAGGATTCTTTAGAACCATTTTGCTAAGTCACCTCTCTGTGTTAATAGCATCACCATTTTCTAGGTTGAAACAACCACAAAGAGACTTGACTGGTACAAAATTGCCCATGATGTCAAACAGTTCAATATATGGCCTTTAATTGCAGAGCCAATAAAGAATTTTGGAAATGATAAGCTAAGAGCACCTGCTTTTATCTCATGTCCATCTACGCCTATCATCAATTCAGGAGGTAACTACCCTCCTCCCATACACACACAAACACACACAATCAATTCTTACTATTTTTAGTTCTGACGTGAGTCACATAAATCTTAAAGCACAAAGTATCTCTGGAATTTTTCTAGAATTCATATGAAACGGGTATAATGATGACATGGCATCCGGGAAGCACCAGGCATAGAAGTGCTGATTTTATGAGGGCATTTATACAATTATCTCTATGAGTCTATGGCTCTTGTGGGAGTCTGGCTGAAAGAATTATCCTTAAATATTCTTAAAAGAGGGAAAAAACTAACCCACTCAGATTATACTGATCCGTCTTGTATTGTCTTACCCTCCAAGTTATTAATGTCTCTTGAGAAAGTCAAATAAAATTTTCCTAACCAGGATGCATCACAGGCTTCACAAAAAGCATCTAAAATATTCTAGGTGCTGGACTGAGAGAGACATTTTCATTCCTAGTCTATAATTTAGATAATTTAATTATTTTTAAAAGGAAATCAAGCTGTTTTCAAAAGAGAAGTTGGAAAAAAAGCCCTCAGAGTATCTAATAATACTTCCTAATAAGTTCAGCCATCAAGGTTATTGCAGACAGCCCCTTGTTCCTGATTTAAGGCCCTGTGCTTCAGTTTTTTGTAGATTCTTTTAGTATCACCAAAGATAAAGAAGACTTCATATACGTCATAACAAAAAGCATAATTGCCTCAATCAGAATATAGTCATATGCAGCATAATGGCATTTGGGTAGACGTCAGCTCGCACATACTGTAGTGGAATACCATGTAGCCCAGGTGTCTAGTAGGCTGTACCATCTCAGTTTGCGTAAGTGCACCCTTTGGTGTTTGCGCAATGACAGAATCTCCTAACAGCATGTTCCTGTCGTTAAGCCATGCGTGACTGTAGTACGAAATGGTGCTCTGCACTATTTTGATCAATTCTAGTGTATTAAAACTCAGGTTAAGAAATTGGCTGAACATATCCAATCTCATCTTATCTCGGAAGCTAAGCAGGGTCGGGCCCGGTTAGTAATTGGATGGGAGACCACCTAGGAAGACTAGTTGCTATAGGCATAAAAAAAGAAAAGAAAAGAAAGAAAGAAATTGGCAAAAGGGGTTGTCTTTAAGCAAGGACTCTAGGTAGCTGGGGTACAGGGTAGGAAGAAGATTTAATTTTCACTATATAGCCTTTAAGAATGTCTGAGTATGTTATATAAACAAACTGAGGCAAATAAAGCAATAAGGTGTGACAGAGTAAAAAGTTACTTTCATTGCCATGTCCCAAAAATGCTTTGAATCCTGGGGAAGAGCTAAGCATGGATAATTCCGCAAGACATGGTCCTTTTATAACTGTTGGATTAGATGTGAACTATCTCTACTTTCCCAGATAGATTATATAAACTGCTTGGATGATGGCCATGACCAGAGGTCAGAATGGTTCAGTTTCTCCCTGGGAAAATGAGATCTTTCTTCTGTAGAATACTAAAGAGGTAAATCATACGATCTTTCAGTTACAGGCTGGAAAAAAAAATCAGTCATGCTTCCTGTGAGTTTCTTTGTTATTTTTTACATTTAAAATATTTTAAAATATTTTTCCTCTGCATGTCCCACATGCAGTCATTAGACTTCTTTCAAAACCTGTGATGAGAATATTTGCTTAGAATCAACAAGTATAAACAACCTACCCACACAATCCATAGGATTCCTTCCCCTTCATCTTCTCCCCAGTTAGCACCAAATACTCAGCTATTACCACCATGAGAGCCATTATCGAAAAAACTAGAGAAAAATAAATTTAGTGCTTTTAGAAAACCTGAGTTCATAAGAAGGTAGATGAAAAGGAACCAGTTTAGAGCTTCAGTTTAGTATTACAGACGCCCAAGCGTGCCCTTACCGGAGCATTGAGGATTCCTGGTTTAAATCTGCTTTGTCCCTTAAAGCTATGTGACCTCGGACAAGTTATTTAACGTCTCCAGACCTATTTCCTCACCTGAAACAAATGGATAATGATGATTGAATGTGCTTTGCGCTGTGATGATGTCTAACTATGGTGAACAATTAAAATTTTTATCTCCTTCCTTCCTTTGCCCCCAAATATCTTCCCTCACACTATTTGAACTTTTTATTTTACTTTGTTAAATCTGCAGAAAATGGCATGGAGATTCTGTGACAACCAGTAACCATTTCAAAATATATAAAATATCTGGGATGTTTAAAATGCTTATTAAAGTAACATTTGTTTTCCTCAGAAAGCCAAAGTAAAGTCATTCAGGGTGTGAAGGTTTTGACTGGAACTAGTGTGCAATTTTCTTTGAGACTTTAGGGCACCCTGGCTAAGGTTTGGGCAGTTCAAGGTAGATGTCACAGCTACAATCCTTGGGATGTTAGAGAAGTGGAAAGGGCCACATACCCCATGATTACGCATTTATTAATGTATTCTGACCAGTCCTTTGCCCAGAAAAAGGGACAAACGTTTCCACTACCCTTTAGCCCACATCAGCAATTGATTAAATCTGGATTTGTGGTTTGACTTAGAAGCTTTGTCCTTTTTTGTGGAAAACAGTATTTTCTGTATTTCCAAATAACCTTTTTAGTCATGTCTTATTCAGAATTTGGGGACTGTCCCTTTTTGTAATTCTGATTTGATCTAAAAGCTTAGTAACATGTGAGGATAGAATAAAATCCATTTGTTTCTAAGAGCTTTGGGAGCAGTGGTTTCTGCTCTTTATGGTTTAACCTTTAAAAACTCTTCATCTAAACCAAAGAGCAACAAGTAATTCTTATCTCCCTGGACTTATTAACTAGCTAAAAGTAGTCCCTTCTGCAGGAATTTTTGCAAGCCCATGAGGCAGCAGCCTTGCTGTTGGGTTTGTCTTTGTTGCTAAGCCTATGGCTGAAAGGGAGTAAAGGCTCAGTTTACACTTGTTGAATGAGTCCAGGTAAGAGTCAAAAATAGATATAGCCAAATAATTTTTGAACAAAATTCTGCTTTTCACTTTTTTGAGCTCCTGAAAAGCAAACGAATGCCCCACATTATATGTCATCAGGAAAAGCAAATTAAAACAACAGCGAGACCTATTAGAATGGCCAAAGTTCAGAACGCTGACAATATCAAATGCTGATGAGGCTGTGGAGCAACAGGAACTCTCACTCATTGCTGGTGTGAATGCAAAATGTTACAGCCACTTTGGGAGACAGTTTGGTAGTTTCTTACAGAACTAAACATATTCTAACGATACGATCCAGCAATCACACTCCTTGGTTAAAAACTTATGTCCATACAAAAACTTGCATATGGATGTTCATAGCAGCTTTATTCATAATTACTCAAACTTGGAAGCAACCAAGATGTTCTTCAGCAGGTGAATATATAGCAAAACTGATACATCTAGACAATGGAATATTATTCAGTGCTAAAAAGATATGAGCTATCAAACCACAAAGAGGCAGGGAGGAATCTTAAATGCCTATCACTAAGTGGAAGAAGCTCATCTTAAAAGGCTACATACTGTATGATTCCAACTATATAACATTCTGAAAAGGTCAAATCTGTGCCGACAGTAAAAAAGATCAGTGGTTGCCAGGGGTGAGGAGGATGGGAGGGATGAATAGGCAGCACACAGAAGATTTTTAGGGCAGTGAAAACATTCCATATATTTTAATGGTGGATGAATGTCATTCATTATACATTTGCCTAAACCCATAGAATATACAATACCAAGAGTGAACCCTAATGTAAACTATGGACTTTGGATGATGATGATGTGTCAGTGTAGATTCATCAATTCTAATAAATGTATCACTCTGGTGGGAGATGTTGATAATAGGGGAGGCTAAACGTGTGGAGGCAGGAGGTATATGGGAAATCTCTGTACCTTCTGCTTAATTTTGCTGTGAACTTAAAACTGCTCTAAAAAAATAAAGTCTATTAAAAACAAAAACAAAAGCAGATGGAGCAAAACCAAGAAAATGTTGTTTGGCCCTTTGGGACTCCTTTTGGTGTTTTAAGGGGTTTTAAAGCTACAACTTCAGAAAGAGCAGAGGGTGGGAGCGAGTTGGGAGCTGGTGGGGAGAGTGCCTGGCCTGTGCTAAGAGATGGAGGTAAGTAAAGTCAATTAACCAGAAAGTGTTGTGCTTTCCAAATAATGTGATGCTCAAGAACAGGTGCTCAAGAGCCAGAGTGCCTGGGTTCAAATCCTGATTCTGCTACCAACTGACTATGTGTTTGGGGCAAGTTTCTTAACCTTTCTGCCCTGAGCTTCCACACGTATAAACTGAGGATAATAGTGTCTACCTCATAGACATACTCTGAGGATGAAATGAGTTAAACGTAGAGCACTTAGAGAGTTAGCCGAGACTTAGGAAGTGCTCAACAGATGTTAGCTACTATGGGCATCTATCAGCAGGACTCTGAGGACCTGATTAGCAAGGTCCTCAGATTAGCAAGGACATCAGTCAACCAGGAAAGACCCAGAAGAGAATGATTTAGGTTTCACTTATGACCAGCCAGTTGAGTAATGGGATCCTATGGCCTGTAACTGGCCTAATCAGTTCAGGGTCCATCTCCTGAGAGCAGTTCAGCCATGGTAAAATAGTTCATATTCTTGAATTGCATACTCTTCTGACCCACAGTAGATGTGATGGATACAGAGTACCACAGGAAAGGGGAATGGAATTCTTAGAGTATCCAAGTGAAAAATAGGATAGAAAGTAATCTTGATGATAATACAAAAAATAAACTACCTCCAAACCTTAAGCTCTGCCATTGTCATCTAAACGAAAAGATTATAACATAGAGGAACTTAAAGAGAAGGAAAGTACTGTAATATGCCCGTGCACAAAGCTGTAAATACAAGGATGCCAGACTGCTTTTTAGAGCCCCTCCCCCCACCCCCCCGAAAAGCTGACAACAGCTTATGCTCATCAATATGCCGTGTGGCCATCAAAAGGAATATGGTAGATGGATATGTAGTCACATGGAGAGATCTTAAGACATTCGATAACTGAAAAGTTGCAAAACAATGTATAGTATGATTCTCTTCATATAGAATATGTGTGTTTGTATATTTCTTTGTGCTCATATGTAGTTAACTAAAAACAAACAAAAAATAATGGAAGTGTGCATGCCAAACTGTTAGCAGTGGTTATTACCGGGAAGGAGAGGAGTTGAGAGGTGAAGGGAGGCTTTCATGTTTTACTTGTTATTTATTTATTTTTATGGTGACATTGGTTAATGAAATCCACTAAGTTTCAGCCGTACACTTTAACAGTAAGGCGTATATATATATTTACACTGTGTGTTCGCCTCCCATAGTTAGATTTCTTTCTATCACCACATATTTGACCCCCTTTACCCCGTCTACCTGCCCTTCCTCCCTCCCCCTCTGGTAACCAGTAGTCTGTTGTCCATATCCATGAGTCTCTGCCCTGTTCATTTGTTGCTTTTAGGTTTATATCCCACATATAATCATGTTTTACTCTTTATTAAGGTTGCCAGATTTAGCAAATAAAAATACAGGATGCTCAATTAAATTTGGATTTCAGATTTAAAAAAAATATTTTTAAGTGTAAATATGTGCCATGTATAATAATAATGTGGATATACTTATGCTAATATATTATTCATTATTTATCTGAAATTCAAATTTAACTGGTCATCCTGTATTTCCTCTGGCAAGCCTACTCTATATAATTATGTATTATTTAACACTCTTTAAACGGTATTTTCATATACTAATTGTATGATTTTTAAAAAAAATAAAAAGAGAAAAAAGGATAAGGTAGTTTTTCTCCAGACTGCACAAAAATATACTTTATAGTTAAGAAAATTGATGGCCTAGAAAAAAAGCAGATTATACAGCAGCATGTATACTAAAACCAGAGTTTTATAAAAAGAAGAAAAGCACATATATGCCTATAGTAAAAGACAGAAAGATATATAAGAATTTTAACAGTGATTCTCTCTAATGATGAAATTAGGATGGCTTCTATTTCTTCCTTGTGCCTTATAAAGTTCTTTAAAACTGTTTATTATTTTTGGAAAAGGAAATGGTCATCTGTAAAGAACGCCATTTTTCCGTGCTTCCGTGAGGACCTGGACGTGCCCACGTTCTACTTGTAGATTCCCTCAGAAGAAAGCAGTGGGTAGCAGTGTGAGCTTCACCTTTGGTTTGAAATTTAAAAACTGTCATCCTATGTTCTTGCAGGGTATCTCCAGAAGCAGCCCTACTTTGGAGCAGTGGTTGGCAGGGTAGCCAACCGAATTGCCAAAGGGACGTTCATGCTGGACGGGAAGGAGTATAAGCTGGCTGTTAATAACGGGCCCAACAGTCTGCATGGAGGACTAAGAGGGTTTGATAAGGTGAGTTGGGGGCACTGGACATTGTCCTTACCTGGCATACTTCACAAAGTGCCATCAGGCATACCTTCTGTTTGCCAGGCACAATTCCAGGCCCTGGAGCAAATGCGTTTGGAAAAGTGATATGGGAAAGAGGCTGCTCCCATGGTTTGGGGGAGCAGATGCCCTGGCCCTGTTCTAGGACCCATCCTCCTCTAGCTCATCTGACCATAATGGGCAGGGGAACCCCAAGTGAAAAGATGGCCACCTTTAACTTAGGACGGACAGGGAACGACTAGGGAATGACTTTCTCATAGCATTGGGATCAAGGAGTTGGGTTGACCTTAGGCACGAGAGAAAATGGATTAAAGATAATATCTAACCATTTACCAAACAAAGCATTTGAATAGATTATCTGTCACCCTTACTAGAACCCTGTATTATCACCAAAAGATAAATCACTCCTAAGTCAGGCTGACAGGCCTGAAGCCCTCATTCCTATACTACAACTGCTGGTGTCCTCCGTGGCCACCACCATGGGTGCCCCCAATGCAACACACCTCCCTGTATCTGTCATGAAGCCCCCTTCCCGTGTAGTGTGGTGCTGTATCCAGGCCTACCCTTCCACTGAAGTGCCTCATGCCTCAAAATTACCCGAGATTCCCCCCAGAACCCCCTTTCCACACTAAAACTCCCAAGTGAATCCCTGGAAAAACAAGGTTAGGAGAGCAAAGCAGTCAAACAGCTTCTCCCTGAGGTGGGAATGCCTGGCCTCCTGCTTCCTGGGTGGGAGTCTGCTAGTTAACACCCCCAGTGACTCTCTTACTAGTCTGATTTCAGGCCGTGAGGGAGATTTTTTTGGTAGTTAACTTTCCTTTAAACTTTACATTTTATCACCCAGGTTATTCCTAGAGAAGAGCCAGAGAAGACAGGGACATGTATGACAGTTAAGGGTCACAATTTCTTTTCTGCTTCTGACCACCACCTGCCCTGTTGAAGGAAGTTGGTCACTCTGTTTCCCCTGTCCCTCCAGCTTCCTAGAAGTAGACTGCCCCATCAGCCCCCTCTCCTCAATGATGGGACACCTCATCCCAGGGGGGCATGAAGGCAGAGCATCTCTAGAATATGTCAGGTCTATAGGAAAACCCCAACCAGAGGAAGTTAGGACGAGGATCTTCACAGGATCCTCAGAACAGCACCTTGTTCTAGCTTGTTAATGCTTCCTCTATTCTACATCGGTGTTGTCTGTGGTGTTGCTTAACATGTATGTCCTGTATAAACATAGCAAATAATGAATATACATATATACATATCCTTGAATGCAGTGTGCCTACTGCGCCCCTTCTGTGAACCGAGGAGCGTAACAGGATAGGGATTTCTTAGGTTCACAATATAGTGAGGGGGTGGGACCCTTCCATAAATAACTATTATAGGTGGACAACAATATAGACACCAGTGACAGAGGAACTGGGCATGGACAAATTAACAGCAACTGGGGAGGTGGGATTTGAACTGCCCTTGAAGAAAGGATAGCATTATAGTCAATATGTGGATATTGGAGAGAATGACTTTGCAACAGCCCTGAGAGAGGTGGAGAAAGACTTGGAATGTTATCATGGAGCCACTGGAAGTTTTGAACAGTATGTTTTGACATAGTAACATGAGCAGTATCAGATGAACTTCATTTTAAGTTGTGTTTGATCTCAACGGGTACTGAATAATTGCTGGTTTGGAGGTCTGTGTTTTTCTATTTATGTCAATACATTTTTATAAAAGATGAAATTTGAACAAACCGAGAGGATTAGAAATTGTATAAGTAGGCCTAAAGGTGCAAATTCGGAAATTGTCTGGAAATTTGAAAACTACAGGGTCAGGGAAATCCTTCCATGAATAGGAATTATACCATCTGTGGAATTCTACTTGTCTGATAATATCACTTTACATGAAAATATTTCCATTCCGTATCTCCATTCTCTAAAGGAGAAAAACTAGATAGCAAGTTAAGAACATTTTCTTTCAAATATTTTACTCCTAAAATTTTCCATTTGGGGGATTCTTTTTTCCTTTCTTTAATCACACATATAACAGACTTTACATCTTAAGTTGTTGTAGCCGCCAGCCCCCGAAAGACACACGGACCACCAGAAATCAGTGAGTTATAGGAAAAACACTCATTATTCAGCCGGCTGGGTCTGCCAGGGGTACGCAGACCACAAATTAAGCAGCCCCGAAATGTAGAGGTACAGGGTTTTTAAGCCTAAAATTCCATTCTTCATTCTGTCTAAACACAAAGGTCTATTTCTCTTCTATTCATTACCTGTCGACCCACAGGTCGGGTATGCAAGCGGGGGTACAGAAGCAGAAGGCTTATTGTTAGAATGTTATGTTCCCATGTGGGATAGCCTATGTTCCCATGGGCGATAGCCAAGCAGTAATTTTCCAGCCAGCACAAAGTGTCTTGAAAGTTCAACATTTCTGGGAGATAATTAGGGTGCGAAATAAATTTTTTACTAAGGTCAGTGAATTTGTTTTAAATACCAGCTGCTTTCACCGTAGGTGTAGGCAGAGACCTCCGTTCCCGCTGGGCTCCCCTTCCTGGCAAATGCTGTGTCAATGAGAGAGATCCAGGCCATGCCAGGAGTGGGGGGAGGCGGGGCAGAGCCTGGGCTCATAGGCCATTTCTCTGTCCCACAGAAGTTTTATGTTTCAAGTCCATTTGGAATGACAGTGTTTGGCCTCAACTCTTATGTTGAAAATGGAGATTTGAATAAAACATCCACTGAAACTAAGATGTGGAATAGTGTAGGCTGCCAGGCCTGAGTTTGAATCGTAGCTCTGTCCCTAATTACATGTATGACTTTAAACAAGATTTTTTTTCCCCCTTAAACAGTAGGCATGAAGTCTGAAAGGGTTCTACACCACTCCCCTGGGATGTGGAGGGTGGAAGTGGGCAAGTTAACTCTACTAAACTTAATTTGCTCATCTGCAAAATGGGATTAATAACATTACTTGGAGCCATATGAAATTGCCACTGTTCAACTATTTTGACCTACAAAGATGTAAAAAATTTTTTTTTTTTTTGGTTCCACCAGATTCTTACCTTGGAAAATGATTTATGTAAAGTACCAGGTCAGTGGCTGGTGAGCACTCAACAAATGGAAGTCTCATGTCTGCGAGATACTTTTACTAGTGACTCCAGGGCTCCCCAAAGGGACTGGGGGCGGGGGGGTGTCTCTGGACACCTTGTCCTTTGATAGTGTAAAATAAGGGAACAGGATCAGACTGCTTGGTTCAAATCCACTGTCTTACTAGCTATGTGGCCTGGGACCAGCAATTTATCCTTTCTGAGCCTCAGCTCTCTCATCACAAAATGAGGATAATGGTATCTACATTAAGTCAGCTCTGAGACAGATAAGATAATGTCTGTGAAGTTTCTAGCAAAGTGCCTTGGCTCATAATGGAAACTCCCTTCCCGTAAGTGTAATCTTGGAGCCCCTAGGGCAACGTTGAGAGAAATCACTGTTAATCCAAGATTCAGAAAACTTTTCTTCATATTTTTCTTGTAACTCTTAAAATCATATTTTCCAGAACTAGAAAAAACTTTCCAGCTCATTTTTTTTCCAAACCCTTTATTTTATGGATAGGATTGAAGTCCAAAGTCAGTGAGCTAGGGACAAACCTGGCCCCAAATCAGGACTCTTGACTTGTGAGCGAGAACTCTACCTATTGGAACGAGGGCTTTCTTATTTGTTTGGAACTCTGCCCAGGGAACACAGATAACCTCGTGGTGTTTTTTTATAAATATTTGTAAATAGTACCCTCGAGAGAGGGGGGCTGATTTATTAAGGTTATTTTTAATACTATTAGCAGATAGTTATTGCTCAGAATGTGGTGCTGAGATTTTTTTAAGTCTCAAAGAAGGGGAAGAA